CAAAGCAATATCTGCTTTCCTATGTTCTTGCATCATTATTCACATGTATTCACATGTTTTCCGTACTTAATAAATAAATATGTTCTATGTTTCTGATAGGTTACCACTTCTCTTAGAAAATGCATTACATTTTACAGGAATCAGTTATACATTTTCCAAAACTGCTAGACATTTATTTTTTTCTTTTGTTTGAACTCACATCTTCATTTCAATATTTTATATTTCTGGGATATAGCCTGGATCCCAAGAACTTAGATATGAAATTTTGCTTTACTCCTAACTTAGTGGTGGCCTTTCATAAGTTATTTACTTTTCCTATCATGAGGCATCACATTTAAAAAAATGTATTTCTGTTACATAATAATAATTTGTGCTTTTTGTAGAAGTATAAAAATTATGAGTAATGGCTTGATAAGAAATATGAAAATATTTTGGATTTTATGAAAAATACAAGCTATGTGAAAATAACAATACCTGTGAAAGCCTAATTTTGTTTTTATATAAAATATTTTTATTGCAATGATACACCAAAGGGGGAATGTTTATTTGCAAACATTGTTAAAATTGGTTATAGAGCCTTGATTAATTGAACTGGTTAGCCGTTTTATTTTCTTTGGATATTTCTAGTGTTTAGCTATAAAGTTATAGTCATATTTATATTTGCATATAGTCATATTTATTTTCCTACATAATTGTCTAAAGTTTGGGTGTTAATTATACTGTTGAAACTAAACATTCTTCTTTCTGCAGCATACCAACTTTCTCTTGTTTGGAGTTTCAGTCCCTAGTGTTTTTAGAAACAATGCTGCTTCTCCTCATGGTCATTTGGAAGACAAATTTAGAGATGACATAATTTGTTTTTGATTGCAGTAAACTAAATTAGTCTGTTTCTGACAGAGCCTCTCAGGAGACTGCAGCTATGAAGTCAGAATTCTTAGTCCAGATTAATCTTTTTCAGCAGTAAACGTAAAATATATTTCAAAGTTATATTTGTCACATGACCTTCAGTGGTTGATTATAATTGGATCTTCATTGCTGATATATTGCAAAGACTGATTATACACGTGAATAATGTTGTTATTTTATTGTTACTTTGAAAATGTGGTGAAACAAAAGAATCCTAGTATATAATAACTAAAAAAACATATTAACAACTAGAATTATGAGACTCGTATTAGCTGAATTGCCAAATATCAGAGTATGTGGCAGAAGTGAAAGTAATATTTGGTGTTTTTCTTCCAAAAATTTTTTTTCACATATTATGCCTTGCTGGAAAACAAGTATCTTGTTTTGATGATTTAGTCAAAAATATTTCATATTATGGCTACGTTAGGAAGCACTAAAGTAACTTTTTCTGGAAAAGAATGTGAATCCATCCTGAAGAACTAAAATTTGCGCATATGAACGGTAAAATAAGTGGTAGGGACCATTACATAAATAAAGAGCTAATTTTGGGGAAGCTCTTTAGGAATATACAAAATGTGTTTCAGATTACATTGTGTCCATTTGCAGTGGAAACTTAGAGTGACAGGTCAGAGAATATGCTACCTTAGAAATTCTACTATTACTTATAGTCTGTTCTCTGACATGTAGGCTTCCATGCTTAGTTTTCAGTATCTTCTATTTTATTTTTCAGGTGTAAAACACTGAAACACAAACATGGAAAGAAAAGACAGAAAAATACCAAATCAAATAATAAAGTTGCAAGAGACTTTTGGGTGTAAATGTTGCTTGGTGAACTTTGGAAGAAAAACAAATGTTTCCTGTACCAAGCAAAAGTATTAATAAATAGAATGTCTGTGCATTTCAGTGACTGATAAAGTCAATGCACTTGCAAAATGTCAATTTCATAAGCTAAATTTTTGGGGTTTGTATCCCAATATACATGTATTTGATTACTTGTTTGTAATTACCTAGTATGCATTAAAACAATTTATTATTGCATTTAAACAAAAATATAGTAATGAAGACATGAGATTAAAAAAAAAAAAAACCAGAATTCCCCAATTTTGTTTGTTATACCAATGAATCACTCTAGGATGTGTATGTCACAATTAGGAACTGTTTCTCTGGAGTGTATCTCAGTAACTTTAAAATTATCATGCACAAGAGGACTCTGCTCTAAGATAGTCCTTGGATGGGCAAAGGGAACAATTTCTTGTAAACTCACATGGAGGATATTTTCTATGTAACAACAGTTAACCTTTTCGTGTCTTTAAATGACAAAGCACATTAGTAATGCAATTTATAAACAAATTATGTTATTTTGTTAAAATGTTGCAGACGGTATATTTTAAAATATGCTTCAACTAGAAATTTAGATGAACTATAGGGGTTAAAAGAAATCTGTCACCAGAGTACATTTTCATAACCACTTAGTTATACTCTAGAATTGGACAAGACTTGGCCAGGCCCATGGCTCACCCGCCTGTTATCTTCAGCACTTTGGGGAGCCAAGGCGGGGGATTACGAGGTTAGAGATCCGACCATTCTGACTAATACGATGAAACCCGTCTCTACTAAAAATACAAAAAAATTAGCCGAGCGTGGGTGCGGCGCGCCTGTAGTCCCAGCTGCTCGGGAGGCTGGGGCAGGGAGAATGGCGTGAACCCGGGAGGCAGAGCTTGCAGTGAGCCAAGATCTCACCTCTGAACCTACAGCCTGGGAAGACAGAGCCAGACCTCCGTCTCAAAAAAAAAAAAAAAAAAAAGAATTGGAAAGACTTATTATTGTGTATATCTATGATTTGAGAATGATAAATACTATCTTTAATTTCTGCAATGTTATTTATATTCAATTTCTAAAGAAGGATCACAGTGATATTAATTGCTGAGTCTAAAAAACTTACTGATTGTTTTAATCTTGTTATAAAAATTACAATTCAATCTTTATTGTTGTAGTTGTTCTTTTTTTTCTTTTTTTTTTTTTGACGGAGTCTACTCTGTTGGGAGCTGGAGTGCAGCGGCACCATGTCGCTCCACTACAACCTCCGTCTTCTGAGTTCAAGCAACCCTGTCCCAGCCTCCCGAGTAACTGGAATACAGGTGCCCACCCACGCCTGTAGTTAGCTACATATAACGAGTTTTTTTTTTTTTTTTGGGTGGGTCTGTTGGTCAGGGATATGAGGTGACCGCCTGGACTCGAGGCTGGACTACAGGTGTGAGCCCCCGGGTATAATGCTGTCGTGGTTATGAAATCATCGGGATATGGTATAATGTGTTTAAGGATTGGCGAGTGAATGGTATCAATTTTAGCTTTATGAATCTTTTGATTTGCACTATCCTATGAAATGCATTTAGCTACGAAACATATTTCCATTATCAGGGAAACTCTTTAGTACTTTTTAGAACTTTTTATTCCTTTTACTCAGTTTGTATTTCAGTATTTGCTTCCCCCCCCCATGCATTCTAAATTAGTTATTTCTTTGATAATTGTTTAACAAGCGTTGCTAAATGTTTTCAAGAGACCTCAAGTTTGCTAGATGCTATGTATTGCCAAGTTGCTGTCAGAAAATTACAAGACATGGTTCTTTTGTTCTGATAATTTATATGTTATGAATAATCTGACTAACAGTCATTTGGTTAAATGTGTATTGATTTGATAAACTGTATGTTTGATCCATAAAATGTATGCATATATTTCTAATTTATTTTGAATTAACTAGATAGACACATAAATTGACATGTAGAGTGATGTTTTCTCTAGATGATAGTTTATATATAAAGGAGAGATGTGACTATAAGACTTCAAGTTACAGTTGGTAGATAAGGGCATCAAGTTCTGACTAAAACCTGACCATAATGAGCTTCTTCATTGGAATTGATTAGTGATAAGTTAAGAGATGTTGAGTAGCAAAGCAATTCAAGTACAGCATTAGAAGCAGAGAGAAAACAGAAAAAAGAAGGAAAATAGTTTGTTGGCTGACTTTTTCAATTTATTTATACAGTGGGGTTAAATTGTATCTGCTAAATATTTTTGGTTTAAAAACAGTATAAGCCATGTGAATATGTTTTAAAAGATCAGGACCTCATGCTGTAATTATTGGCTGTCCACATGCAAAAAATTAATCAGATCTTATGCCATTTGCCAAAACAAGTTCAACATAGATCATAGACTTAAATGTAAAACACAAAACTCTAAGACTCTTAGAAGATAGCATAGCAGAAAACCTTAGATGACCTTAGATATGGTAATAACTTTTTAGATACTACATCAAAAGCATGATTAATGAAAAAATAATTCATAAAGTTGATTTCATTAAAATTAAACATGTCTGCTCTGCAAAAGGCAATGCCAAGAGAACAAGAAGACACATTATAGACTGGGAAAAAGTAGTTGCAAAAGACATATATGATAGAGGACTGTTATCTAAAAGACACCAAGAGCTTTCAAAACTCAACAATAAGAAAACAAAAACACTAGATTAAAAAATGGGCCTTGATAGACATATTATCGAAAATACATAAAGGTAGCAAATAAACATATGAAATGATTCCCACATTATGTCATAATAAAGGGAAATAAAAGTTAAAACAACTATGAGATGTTGCTTCATGCCTATTAGAACAACCAAAATTTAGCACACACAGACACCACAGAATTCTAGCAAGGATGTGGAACAAAAGCATCACTAACTTATTGATGGTGGCAATGTAAAATGGCTAAGCCACTTTCAAAGAGTTTGGTAGTTTCTTATAAAAATAAACATACTTTTAGCATTCAGTCTACTAATTGTGCTCTATGGTATCTACTCAAAGGAGTTGCAAACTTATGTTCACACAGAACCTGCACATGGATATTTATAGTAGTTTTATTCATAATTGCCCTAACATGAAGGCAACAAAGATACACTTAGGAGATGAATGGATACGTAAAATATGGTACTCCTAGAATATGAACTATTACTATTCAGTGCTAAAAAGAAATGAATTCTCAAGCCATTGAAGGACTTTAAATACATATTACTAAATGAAAGAAGCCAATCTGAAGAGAGTACTTACCTTATACCAACTATATGACATTCTGGAATAAACAAAACTATGGAAAGAGCAAAAAGATGAGTGACTACTAGGAGTTGTCAGTGGACAGGGAGGAGGGGAGATGGTGAATGGGGTGGTACACAGAGTATTTTAAGGTCAATGGAAGTACTTTGTATAATACTATATTGGTGGATACATGTCAGGATAAATTGTCCAAACTCACAGAATGTGCATCAACAACAAACCCTCATGTAAATGATAAACTTTTGGTGATTTTGTGTCAACGTTGATTCATCAACTGTAATGAATGCGCCACTCTAATTGGGGGATGTTGATAATGGGGAAAGGAATGCACATGTTGGGTAGAGGGTATACAGGAAAATCTCTGTACCTTCTCAAGTTTGCTTTGAAACTAAACCTGTTCTAAAAAACCATTAATTCTTAAATAACATGTATGTTATTATCAAAGGAAAGACTTTTGTTTAAGCACGAGAGCCCATTAAATATGTATTCCCAAAGGCAAGAAACCAGAAGAGAGAAATATGATTGTCAGAACAAAGTAAAGTTAAGGGTCAGTAAATGTGGAGGTAAATGTATTATCTATGTAATAATATAAAATATTTGGAAATTGAAGTTAGAATATCTGGATTTGAAGTCACCTCCCTCATCTATTCCTCACTTCTCACTCTTTATTTGCTCTTTCTACTTAGCCAAAAACCTTAAAATACCTTATAAGGAATGTCAAAAACTGGTTTCATTTTAATGTTCCAACCTCATTTTAAACCACTCCCACACGTTCTGTGCTATGACCATTCTGTACCTTTTTTTTTTTCTTTCAAATGCCTAGGCTCTCTCTCATTTCTAAGGCTTTACAAATACTGTAGTTTCTATTGAAGCACTTTCCATCATCCTCTTTATCTGCTTAAACCACTGCCTTTCCAACATTAGTTTCCACAGAAAGTTTTTTTGACTTTTTACACTGTAGTAAGTACTCCTGTATTTGCTCCCATTAGTATCTTACAGTCTACTGGCATTTTACTACTCTGTATTGTGCCTATGATATTCAAGAATCCTGAGGAAAGATTTCACAAATCACATTTATTACTTCTTATTTTTATAGCATTAGGCATACTAATTAATACTTTTTAAAATATTTGTTGAAAAACAAAATGCTTAGAGAATTTAAATAATACACAAAGTCACAGAGCTACTGACACGTAGGATACCGACAAAACAGCTCTACCTTGCTTCAGAGTTTTCTATCTCCAAGGCAGAATCTGATTTGACCTTATATTATTACTGCTTTGTGTTGAAAGTGCATTTTCTCAAGTTCATGCTCCCTTTTACTATACCTGTGAGCGATACAAAATGAGAGTATTTTAGGAGGGACAATATGTGGCATTTCTATTTATGCTGGAAGCTAATGTAAAATCTTATAGAGTGACTTAGGGATGATTTTTGTAAATAATATTTTGTTGGTAGATTTCAAAGCAAGCTTTTTTACAACTTTCCACATTCCATGGTCCATTGATATTAATCAACATTTCAAGGAATAGTCTTAAATCTAGCTCCCCTACATTCAGTCTTTATTTCATTAATAATAGAAATGAGGAATACACTTTTTTTTTTGTCTAGTTCACTTAAAATTCAAAGATACAATTTTAGCCAAACACAGTAGAAAAGATGTAGTTATGTGTATCAACAATAAAATATAACTTTATTTGGCCTTAAAAACAAGCAATAGAGTTTATTTTTTAAAGAACTGTTTATACATTCCTCTTTTCACATTGAAGATAATTTTTATATGTATATCCTAAGGTATTTTTCATCAGAAAAATACTTTAAAAATCCAAACTTTGTAAAAACTATATTGGTGAGTAACTCAATTTAGAGTTGTGGACACACAAAAAATACATTTCTACATAACGACAGGACTAGATGTCTATTGTCTTTATTCTCAAGCATCATTTCACTTATTCTGTAAATAAAACTTCTATGTCTTGTAAGGAACTCATCCATAAAGTTCAAATAGGGTAGAGATTGACTCTTAGCCACAGACCGTGGGCAGCTGTTCACAGGGCAACGGTGTTTACCTCAAGATTGAGCATCTGAAATGCGAGAGTTCAAAGTCCAAATGTGTGATTTGATACATAGGAGGGAAGGCATCAATGGCCTGAGTGTTGCCACAGACATCTTGTTTATTTTGTGACTATAAAAATAAAACTAAGCAGAAGTCGTCATGAGATATTGTGGTAGGGATTCGAAATTTTTAGTCATCAAACATTTGAAAACGTTTTCTTTACAAATGAATCTCAGTGTGGAAGAGAAATAAAGTCGATGTTTTCTCTTCACTATTCACAAAAGCAAGACTGTAAGATGTGAAGTATACATGACCAAATAATGTCCCAATTTGGGAAGCTTATAATGAAAGAATAATGTAAAAATAGAGGAATAAAAGTTATTTAGAACAGTGACTTCAGAGTCCAGGCACAGAGCAGTAAATATTTTGTGTTGTTCTGATTTTGTCACTACATTTTTCTTGGTCTAGGACCTACCCAGTGCATTGCAGCATATTTAAAATCTCTGGTCTCACATATTAAATGTTAATAGCAAATCCTCAAACCACAAATGGACCGATACATTTCAAAGGGTCCCAAAGGCATTCCCTAGTGAGAAATGTTTGGCCTTGCTGACAAAATTTGTTGTCACCTGCCTACTTTTTTGAGTCTGATTCTTGAAAATTCTTGCAAATTTTGTGAGCTACAAAATATTCTCTCCAACCATTTATTTACTGCTTGAATTGACAAAACTTGGTTTCTAATGCTGATGACTGAAAACTTTAAATAATACAGACACAAATTCCTAACAGCGTATTTGAATTCCAATGATTGCAGTCATTTTCCTTTTCTTTATTTCTACACTTAGGTAGCATGAATCAAGGGATTTTCCTTTTGTCCTATTACAGATTGAGTTGGGTTTCTGTCATGTCACCAAATGAAATATTCTTGATTAAAAATGTATGTCTAAAATAAGTCAATTTTAACCTCGAGAATAAATGAATATAAACTTGAAATATTCATGTTATATAGAGAGCTTTACCTGTGCTACTTCTACCATCTAAACACTAAGCATCAACTTTCATTTTAGAAGTGTACTCACTGTCTGCTCTTAGAATCTCTTTTTGCATAAACACGCATATTTTTCTTTAATGTCATACAGTTCTCTGTCCAAATATTAGTTGATAAAAGACTATCGTGATGGGTTTTTTTACATTTTACCTTTACATGTTATTGATTTATCTGCTTATGTGCTTGTTGTCTGCTTCCTAGAGGTAGAATGTCAGATCCATGAAAGAAAAAATTAATTTTGTTTAAAACTCCTATTCTGGCACCTAGAACACAGCACTCCAAACATACAACAGATGCGAATATATATTGACATCTGATTTAATAAATCAGGTGCATATTTATTTTATATTTATACACATATACAATTGTCATTTTGGAAGAATTTGTAAAACTCTGATGTAGATAATGTAGATAATTACACTCCTCAATTGAAGACATATTATGATCATTCATTTTAGATAGATCTGTCTTGTTTAATGTAATTAAATTACACTAAAAATTCCTCCGTCTATGTTATTTCCTTCTCTCTCAGGTGAATACCCATTTAATGTATTATTGAGATATATCTTCCAGTAATATATATAAAACATTGTTTTTGTATGTATAGATTATTTTAATTAGCTCCAATTATATTGTTTTAGATTTTTCTTTTTATTACATTTCTATATGTATGATTTTTAAATTAAATCACATTGCTGAATATATATTCATTTTGCTTTTAACTATTTAGTAGTATTGTATATTATACATCCAACATATATTTTATTTGTTATCCTATTAATGGAATTCCAGTGTATTTTTAATTAACTGCTCCCAGTAGCTAAATTATGATGAGTACTTAAACACATATATGCTGTTTAAATTAATGGTTTTGCTGTATCATAGGTAACATGCATATTAAAGTTTAATATGTACACTTTACATATTGATTGGTTATTTTTATTGTTTTTGTTTTTGTTTTTTTGAGATCGACTCTCGCTCTGTCACTCAGGCTGGTGTGCAGTGACATGATCTTGGCTCACTGCAACCTTCGCCTCCTTGGTTCAAGAGATTTTCCTGCCTCAGCCTCCCAAGTTGCTGGGATTACAGGTAGATGCCACCATGCCTGGCCACCATACAAAAAAAAAAAAAAAAATTTGTATTTTTAATAGACAGGGGTTTTTATCATGTTGGCCAGGCTGGTCTTGAACTCCTGACCTCAAGCGATCTGCCCGCCTTGGCCTCCCAAAGTGCTGGGATTACAGGTGAGAGCCACCATGCCCGGCCACATTATTTATTTTTATAATGAATGTACTGTTGATGTTTCTCTTCCAAAAGATATGATGTTGTGAAATTCATATCATGCTATTCTGAATTTTAAGTACTCTTCTCAAACACAAAAACAATTATTGCAAAATAAGGTAGAAGGTATTCATTGTAATCTAAAATTTTCTAGGTGAATTTAAAATATAACCTTATTTCATATGTAAAAAGTAAAAACAAAACGTATTTCTGCTTGCTGGTCACTCTAAGATACATAATATTTTAACTTGAATAAGATGTTTCAGTATAACATTTAATTATGAATAATGAATTATTTGCTTTTGAAATTCTAGCTTTGCCCAAATATAGTTGTATGACTAGCTTTGCAAAGAGCTGTCAATTTTATTTTTCATCAAATGCAATGTAAGGCAAAAAACTGCATCTTACATTGACTCTGGCATCATTTCAGATTTCTAATCTCTTTTTTTTTTCTGAGATGAAGTCTTGCTGTGTCACCCAAGCTGGAGCTTGGCTCACTGCAACCTCCAGCTCCTGGGCGCAAGAGATTCTGTTGACTCAGCATTCCAAGTAGCTGAGATTACAAGCATGTGCCATTACGCTTGGCTAATTTTTGTATTTTTAGTAGAGATGAGGTTTCACCATGTTGGCCAGGCTGCTCTTGAACTCGTAGCCTCAAGTGATCTGCCCGCCTTGGCCTCCCAAAGTGCTGGGATTACAGGCGTGAGCCACCATGCCTGGCCTCAAATTTCTAATATTTTTAAAGCAATGTTAAGAATTTTCTCTGAAAGAAATGGCACCACGTATGCATTAAATTCAACTGGTTATCTTGATAAAATTGAAACCGCAACAATGTAAGAGTGAATTTTGGAGGCAATATCTCTTTTGAAAACATAAAATTTGAAAATATTGTATCTCATGAATTCTAAGAGGTTTTTGTTTAAAGATAATAAGACACAGGTGTGACTATCAGTACCATAACTATTTATGAACAAAAAATTCAAAATTTTTTATTATAAATTCTAATACTGCTCATTTATGTGGTAATTATGATGACTTTTGTATATTATTATTCATATACAATCACTACTTATGGAAGATAAAATGAAGATGTGTACATGTGTGTGAGAGCACATGTTAAAATTGTGTAGAAAGAGATAGCTTATAAATATGGTAAAAGCATATACATTAAATATAGTACCATATAGTTTTAGTAAATGTGATTCAAAAATACTACAGGGACATGCATTCTGATATGAAAAAAGTAATACACTATGGGAGAAAAGAAACAGTGTTTTTTGCTTCATAAACCTAGGATGTACACCACAGCTAATAAAATTCTTAGTATTTGTTGTGTTAATTTGAAAGAAGTTAAAGAAGTGATGTGTATGGTGATAAGAATGCTAGATAAGGAAATAGAAGCTTTAATTCAAATCATATGATCGCCCACACAGTGATGCTACATTTTTTGAGTGCTTGGTTACATTATTCATCTTTGCGATTGCAGTACATGAGTGTAATTGGTACCCAACATTTCACAAATAAATGAATGAATAAAATAGTTAAATAATGCAGACACTACCGCTTACTAGGTGAATGACATGGACCAAGGTAATCACTGAATTATCTTAATTTATAAAATAAGATTAAGCTCTATTTTACAATATATTTCATATAGTACATGATAGCACCGTGTGAGCGTGGTGGTCTCAGGATTTACTATGCCTCAGAAATGAGTTACTGGTTTCAGAGAGCTCTTAAAGCAGTGATTAAAACTAAATTTGTGTAAAATTGGGTGTAAGAAAGGAGTTGATAGGTTATTCAGAAGAACAAATTAATTACCTAAACATAGTACGACATTGTAAGGTGTTACTCCAAATGGCTCACTTCTAAGAAGGACAAAAAGGTCTTTATTAATAATTGTGGCAGGGTAATAGGCTAAGTCATAAGTGTTCCCAGTATACTCAAATACTTCTTCAGTGGTACTATTTGATACATGTTTGATTATAGTTATCCATAGGTTACTCAGAAATAAAACTAATGTACACGGTATCTTTCACAAGAAAAAGTTTCATTTCATATTTTCTCCAAAATATTATGCTACTCATATCTTCTCCTCTAATATAAAAGAAAAAATAATTGAAGTCAACCATAAATGTAGACTGTGTGCAAAATAAACCATATGCATAAATGAATCAAGGTGTCAATTAAATAGCTCAGAAACATAGACATCATCAAGTATATCCTACATTTAATTTACTGGGGTCAGTACATTTTTAAAAATCAATTGCCATGATATTTTAGAATGCAAATCACTCATGCTGGTTCAATTAGATCCAGAGTTAAAATATTTTAAGTTCATCTTGTGGGTTTTTTTCAGACACATATATCATTTAGTACACCATCATAAGTTCTTATAATGTTTTATAATTTCTATAATTAAATAACTATAACTTACTTATACTTAAGTCAATAAATGTAACATATATACTTTGCTAAGATGGTTTAATCAAAAGCATTGTTTATTTTTATCTTCTACTATGTGATAATAGCCAGTCTGTTTTCCTCTGAATGTATTTTCTCAATTATTTTGTTCCTCAGAGACAAACTGATAGGAAGCTTAAAAAGCAAACAAACAAACAAACAAAAAAACCCTGATACTTACAATACATATAGTACTTCTGGGCTCACTGTTTTCCAGTTTCTAATTATCCTTTTTAATTTGCTCCTGCTTATTTTCATAGATCTCTCAATTTTTCCTGTTACCAAATACAACTAAGTAATTATAAAGCAAAGTACAGCTTTATAACAAGATAATTTA